TCACCTGGAACCTGCCGATTGTATCTGCAGCTTATGCCATCATGCACCCAGCACAGCAGAGGCAGATGCAGGCAGACGCTGGCATCAGCTGTGGATGCAGCCAGCAGATTTCAGGTGCAGACTGGGGTGTCTGCCTGGGTCCAGAGCTGATGCTGTTGTGTCAGTGTTAGACGAAAGCAGTCCTGCCTGCCTGGCACCTCTTGGTAGCCAGAGCCAAGGCTGCCTGGAGGCTGGATCCCATGGGTTGGCGGCTGCCTGCTCACAAGTCAGATACAATCATTTGGTGGACTGGATCCAGCCTGCGAGCTGTGTTTTTCCCACCCCTGATATATACCTAGGTATCGCTGTAACTGACGCTTATAACTATTTCCAAAATACTTTGTCTGTGCGCCAGTGACATGTCAAAGTGGACATGAGAGGGAGTAAGGTGTTTCCTTGTTGTATGCATGTATTGTATTGCTTTGGAGGAATCACTTATGCTACAGTGTGCTTCCTTTCCGCATGCTGGTGCGGTTCTCCAAAACACCCATGGCGCTTATCACTGAGGGATGGGTATACAGAATGTGGCTACCGCCCTTCTGTTAAAGGGAGGAATCTGGCTTCCAGAGACCGGTAGTTCTTGTGGTAGCCTTTATCTGAAGAAGCACTGTGCAGAGTCCATAGATACGAATGAGCTGGTGGCTGCTGGTTCCTGCCATGCTGGTAAAAGTCATTGGTGAGACAGTCTGAGCATCCTTAGTGTTGTATGCTCATCCACGGCCTTTCCTCCACACCTTCCTGGCTGGTCAGTGCATAAATTGGTACTATGAGAGGAAAAGTGTGAAAAATGGTTTCTCTTTTTGCGCCCTCTGGATGCTCTCCCATTCTGGGCACGTTCATTCTAAATGCTGGGGTTTCTTAATGGCTCACAGGAGTTTAGTCTTTATTTTGATCAATTTATTTTGCAAAATGGCTAATAAAGTTGTCTAAATGCAGTCACTAAATAAAATATAAAACACGAGTACTGCAGACCTAGTTTTCTCAGTCTTGAAGGTTTCCTCTGAACTGTGCAGCCTCCTCCTTTTTGGAAGGCAACTTATCTAGGAGGTCTTGGATTAGTTGAAGTCTGCAAAGTCCATTCAGTCAGGTAGTTTCTTCCCTCTTACTGCTGCCCCAGTTCTGTGCAGAAGCTGCTTCATCAGAGCCTTCTTGCTGTGTGCTGTCTGTCATTCAACAGCCCTCATGAAGGCAAACCCAACCAAGCCTGTTACCAGCTCAAATGGGCCTTGTGAATACACCCTTGACACCAGACAGTTTAGTCTAGGTGTGCACTTTTTCAAACACTGCATTATTTGTGTGCTGTCTGTATGCAGCCATTAAATCAGTCCTAAATATAGGAAGTCTGTTGGCTGAGGTCAGGCCCCTTGGTGGTGCGTGAGCGTAGGCAAGGTGTTACAAAAAGAGACACCAGCTGATTCAGGAACCTGGTATAATTACAAAGGTTGAGTCAGGCACCAATTTGGGTTTCCTCAAATAGCCTATGAACAGATAAAAATACCAAGGAAATATTTAAAAAAAATACTTCCCAGTTTGTTTGTTTGACTGCCAACAGCAAATGTGGGAAACGGGTCTTCCCACCAGCCTTTTGTCATTTAACTTCCAGGTCCCTGGCTGCTCTGTAGTTGCTGTCATAGAAGCGGACGGTGCAGTGCTGAAGATGGGCCCTGAGCATGCAAGCACCATCTCTGCGTCCCTAACCCTTCCAAACACGGGCACTTGGTGCAGGAGGGAGTTATTTTGGGACTGCTGGGCTCCATTTTCAGGGATACAGTTTTGTTGCTATGACAGCAGCAAAGCACTCTGTGTCCTTGTAGAAATCAATGTGGAAAGGCCTGTTTTCCCCAGGACATAGAGCCTTTGCACGCTTCGCTCAGCATGGAAGGGAGGGCCCTGTCTCACAAAGCATCCGGAGCTATAGAAGCAGACTTGTATGGGCAGTTCCACACTGAAATAGTTCCTCTTGCAGGTGGTCTTTATTGCAATTGAAGGGATGGAGTACTTGCTTCTTTTCATCCTTGTTAGCTAATCATAGAAAATTAGGGTTGGAAGGGACCTACCTTCTAAGAGGTCACATCTAGTTTAACCTCCTGCTCAAAGCAGAACCAGTCCCAACACACCTCTGCTTCAGTAGGGCATGTGCTGGTAATGAGAAAGCCAGGACCTATGGTCCAGACTTAAGAAAATAGTTTCTGATTTATTTATTTTTTTGTGGGGGAACACCAATTTTTGAATAGCTTATTGTGAGACACTTGGGCTAGACTTCCCAAAATGTTGAGTGCCTGTAGAATCACAGAAGCGTAGGCAAGGAGGACTCGCTGGTAAAACAGAATAAGCAGTTCATGAATATACTTCACCAGAGTTCAGTTTTAACGTCCATCAACACGTGCTGGTGTCTAAAAGTGCTGGTTCTTCAAGATTGTCTTTCCCCCGGCAGCCTGTTCAGCCTCCACAGTGTACCTGAAATGGTTCCTGCTGTTTCCCAGCCCACTTTGTTTTGCAAGGCTCTGGCTTTTGGATTGCTAATCAATATAGCTCTGGTCATTAACTTCACCCTTTGGCAGGCTAGTTCAGCCAGCTTCAGAGAGAAACTCTGAGGAATTGTTAGAAGTTGGCCAAGCTCGGTTCTGTGAACCTTCTATGCTCTGGCTTAGAGCCTGTCACAGCTATTTATAGACTCAAAGGGGAAGCCAAGCTTTGAGGACAGCTTCTGTTTTGAGTACCAGTTGGATCTTCGATTGGCCTGAAACAGAACCGTCTCTTGGGAGATGCAGAAGAGGACTGATGAGGAAATCCCTGTCTTGCAGGTCATCCGGTGCTAGCTACTTTATCATTGTCCCCGTTCAGCTTATCTAAAATCTGCCTGTGGTTTCAGACTTCAGCATTATTCTTCATTCCCCACTGAGAAATGCTGCTCGGAGGCAGCTGCTGTATTGTTGAAGGTGCACATGAACTGTAGGCTCTATTTGGGTAGGGGAAAGGTGGAACCAACAGCTTGATGTTCACATTGCTGCGTCACTTCTTGGTGTATCTGTGACTGAGATTCCTGTTCTGAAAAGCACCTTGCTGGTGCATGTTGGTTGCTTACAGGCTTCTCTAATTGCCCCCAGCAGAGAAATGTTGAATTAACTGAATTTTTCTTTATTGGCAGTCTGCGGCTGCAGGCTGGTGTAGCCCCCGTCAGACTCTTTAGCTGTGACATCTGTGAAAACTTGGCAATGGTGAGGCTGCAGGATGCTGAGACCACTGCTGATCCACTCTGCATCCTTCTGCTGTTTTCTTGTGCTCTTTAATTATAAACTCCGTGGGGCAGGGCCTAACCTGTGTTTGCACTTAACTAGCACAGCAGAAGCCTGGTTAATGGTAGGGCTGGAATAAACATATTTCTGCCCTGCAGAAAGGGACCTGGGGGTGACAGTGGACAGGAAGCTGAATAGGAGCCAGCAGTGTGCCCTTGTTGCCAAGAAGGCTAATGGAAGCTTGGGCTGCATTGGCAGGAGCATTTCTAGTAGGTCAAGGGAAGTAATTCTTCCCCTCTATTCAGCACTGGTGAGGCCACATCTGGAGTCCTGCATCTAGTTTTGGGCCTCTCACTACAGAAAGGATGTGGATAAATTGGAGACAGTCCAGCAGAGGGCAATGAAAATGGTTGGGGAGCTGGGGGACATGACGTATGAGAGGCCGTGGGAACTGGGCTGCTTTAGTCTGCAGAAGAGAAGACCAAGGTGGGATTTGATAGCAGCCTTCAACTCCTTGCAGGGGGGGTTGCAAAGAGGATGGAGCTGGACTCTTCTCAGTGGGGGCAGATGACAGGACAAGGAACAATGGGCCCAAGTTGCAGCAAGGGAAGTTGAGGGTGAATATTAAGGAAAACTTTTTGATGAGGAGGGTGGTGAAGCACTGGAACAGGATCCCCAGAGAGGTGGTGGAGTCTCCATTCTTCGAGGTTTTGAAGACCCGGGTAGACAAAGCCTTGGCTGGGATGATGTAGTTGGGGCTGGTCCTTCTTTGAACAGGAAGTTGGACTAGATGCAACTTCCTGACATCCCTTCCCACCCTCATTTTCTCTGATTTCTATGATTCTATAAATTCCCATTTATACATAATTGAAGCTGGACTCAAACATACAACATGCATCTATTGTTCTGCTTCTCTGGCCACAGGGATATTCTTCTGCAGCATATTTGGACCATTTAAATAAAATCATGGGTGGCTTTTAAGTAAGGTTCAAAACCAAACAAGAAATTACCCTTCTCTTCATGCCTTAAGGTTGTGCTTAAGTGCTGTCCTGAACAGCAATGGTTTCCTAAGTGGGGGCATAAAAAGGGATGTGTGTTTGAACTGTGTCAAGCTGCGGGAGGGGAGCTGCATCTTGTGTTATTCAAATGGGGGGGGGAACCCGTGGTGTGAGCACCACAAGTGGGACTGGCAGCCTCCATGTGTGGCATGTGGCAGCCTGAGCAGCAGATATGGCAGAAAGCAGAGCAGGGCATAAGGCAGGGAGCACAGAGTAGGGAGCAGAAGCAGAGCAGCAGACAGGGCTGAGGGAGGGGATCTAAGTGGCATTTGGCAGTGATGTGGGGCTAATTTGTGGCTGACCTGCCAAAAAGGTTGCCCCCCTTCCAGTTCAGAGAACACTGGAATCACATTGGCACTCCATGTTTTTCAGACTGAGTAGTGCCGTCACCTAGCTCTTGTCTCTTCCTCCCTTCTCCATTAAACTGGGGCAGGGGGGAAGGGGGTGAAGTTAAAATCTGAACTGTTTTTTTCCATCTACAAATCTGTTATCAAATAAATGGGGTTTCTCATAGTTTGCCTCTCAGTAGTAGCTAGGAGACTCCTACTGTACCAGGAGATTGTAGATGGGCACACACTCCTCTTGATAGTGTGAGCTACAATTTGTGGATTATGCAGCCTGGTTTCTCACATAGCTGGGAAGCTCTTGGTGTTGCAGACTTTGACCTGTACAGGCAGAGTGGCAAGATGGAAACACAGCAGGCCTGAAACCCACAGCTCATTGTCTCTGGTTTGTTTTGCAGTTGGTGTATCCTTATGACTTCAGGTTGACGGAAAAAGAGGTAAGACTCATTTCTTTTGGCTGAAGGATTCTGGGCAGACATGGCAGCCCGGAGGTCTTACCCTGTGTGTTCTGATTTTTGCAGAAAACCAGCATTTGCTACTTATCCTTCCCGGACTCCTACTCAGGTAGGTAGCTTCTGTGGGTTCTGCCTGGAGGGTGCGGATGGTTCTTGTCTCTCATGACAGACATGAAGGTTTGTGTTGGAAAAAGTGAGTCAGTGTCGAATGCAGCAGCGAGACTGATAGGCTGCATCCTCCAAACAGTGACCTCAGAGAGCCTGCAGGCTGAGTGCTGTGCACAGAGGCTTCCTATTTTGCTCCTTATCTAAATACAGAACCTGTGATCTTGTGGGTGACCAGAAAGCTTCTCCATTAGCGTGTGCATACCCATGGCTTACTGGGGCCAATCAAATAGTAAAAATAGTCAGGAGGTCCACCAGCTGTCCACCCTGTGTAGGTATGAGAAAAAGGCTGCACATGCAGGGCCAGGTATGGGCTTTTATGGGGAAAGGGTGATTGGATTGCAAAAGGAAGCATGATTAAAAGCTGTGTTTACAAACCAGAGCAGTGGCAAGAAGGTGGGAAGCCATAGCAGGCCATATCCAGCCAATCCCTCGGGACTGGTATCTCAGTGTTCCTTGCTGCCTGCTATCTATGCATGGTGCTTCCATCCATTCTTTTATGAGCACTGTCTCATAGATCTCCGATGCTCATCCTAAATTCTCTCTTTCTTGGTGTTGTCCTTTTACTTCTAGCTACACTCCCTCATAACCGACAAACTAATCCCTCTCCTTCCTTGGGTATTAAAGAGGCTACAAATATGTGGAGGGTGTATCATGTCTCTTCTTTCTGCATCTCGGTTAGCTGGGGTTTTTTTACTTCTGTTTTATGTATTTAGCTCTTTCTTTATAAGACAACACCTCTCACTTCCTGCTGCTATGGGCTGTAGGTATATGATCCAGCATGCCTGGGTTCTAGGACTCTGAACTGCATTGTGAACATCCTTGGATTACTGGCTTGTTTTCTACAGCCCTGAACACTAGTGTCAGCTTAGCTTTCCTTTCATATACGCATTGATTTGGAGTCTGGAGGAGGTGACCTCATTTTGCATATGTTCTCTCCAAGTCTCTGTCCATTCCATCCAGTTTATCATAGTATCAAGAGCATGAAATTCTCTCCTACGTGCAAAGTATTCTTAGATGGTAAGGGGAAGGATTCCCAGCTGTGCAGCTCACCCACTCCATCCACTTGCCAGAAGCAGTATGTACCGGCTTTCAGGCTATGGTGCACAGCTTACGTTTTTCACACAAACATTTATGTGTTGGTTTGCCGTCTGGTGGGATAAAGGGGTGACGGTTGCAGCTGCTCTGTGTGGGTGGTACTAGCTGGCGTCTTTAATATACCCAGTAAGGGGCATGGATTAAATGTATTATTAATACAGAAACTTCTCCACTCTGCTACATCTTCTTTCTAACGGATGTTGCTGTTGCACAGATGTTGCTGTTGCATGCACTGTCAGTTTGAGTTTCTTATATTATAACATGCCTCTCGATTCTGAAATGCTTTTGATTAACAGCAAACCCTCTGCCTATTCCATGCTGAACCTGCTTTCTGAGTGTGTGTGATCTTCTCTGTCTCAGGCGGCCTAGGGGATACCCAGTTTAGCTTCCGCCTTCGTCAGTCGGGGGGGCAGAGGACCACTCATTTGGGGGATGATGGCGAGTATAACAGAGAAGCCCCCCTAACACTACAGGTCAGTTATTGCTCAGCACACAGGTTTCACCCACAACATGGGCATTATTATTTATGGGTTAAAATGGGAAAATATGTATACAAGTTCTAGTTTTGCTAGAAATAACTCTTCTGCTCTTCCAGTGTTTGCCCCAGGCCCTAAGGACAATCACAGAGGGTTTCTTTTCAGCACAGGAATTCTCCTTTATGAACATGTTAGTAGCGAGGTACACTACAAAGGACTTTAACCTCTTGGAGAGAATAAAGCCTTGAGTGTTGGAAGGAGCCAGGCTAGAGCGGTGGTGCCATTACGCTATAAAGACTGATGTGCCTACATGCCACTCGGACCATTTTGCATAGAGAAGGCGAGCCTGTCCAGGTACTAACTTTCCTGCCGGAGCAGGATGCCATCGCACCAGCTTTTGTCCTCTCCTTCCTTGCCGTCTTGAGTGGCGGAGCACCTTGTAAAAGCCTCTTGAGTTTATAGAATCATAGAAAATGAGGGTTGGAAGTGAACTCAGGAGGTCACATCTAGTCCAACTCCCTGCTCAGAGCAGGACTAGTCCCAGCTAGATTATCCCAGCCAAGGCTTTGTTGAGCCTGGCCTTAAAAACCTCCAAGGATGGAGACTCCACCATCTCTCTAGGTAACCTGTTCCAGTGCTTCATCACCCTCCTGTTGAGAGAGTTTTTCCTAATATCTAACCTGTACTTCCCTTGCTGCAACTGGAGCCCATTGCTCCTTGTTCTGTCATCTGTCACCACTGAGAACAGTCCAGCTCCATCCTCTTCGCAACCCCCCTGCAGGGAGTTGAAGGCTGCTATTAAATTCCTCCTCAGTCCTTTCTTCTCCAGACTAAATCAGTCCAGTTCCCTCACCCACTCCTCACAAGTCATGTGCCTCAGCCCCTGAACTGTTTTCATTGCCTTCCATTGGACTGTCTCCAGTTTGCATGCTTTCTGTAGTGGGGGGCCCACAACTGGACACCGGACTCCAGATGTGGCCTCCCCAGTGCTGAATGGAGGGAAAGAATCACTTCCCTCCATTTGCTGGCAGTTGCTCACTGCAAAAACAGAATAAGCAGTTGGTCCACTGTAACCCCCAGGTCCTTTTCTGCAGAGCTGCTGCCCAGGAGGTCAGCCCCCAGCTTGCACTGGTGCATGGGATTGTTGCATCCTCTGTGCAGGACTTTGCACTTGTCCTTGTTGAACCTCGTGAGATTTCTTTTGGCCCAATCCTCCAATTTGTCTAGGTCACTGAGTCCTAGCCCTATCTTCCACATGACATGTTTAAATATCACCCATTCAAGCTGTATTGTGGCTCCATCAGTAGGCGACCTGTGAGAGCATGCAGCCTGACTGCCTTGTCCCAGTAGTGACCGTACAAACACAGGAAGCTGTCTAGGGAAACATCACACTTTATCTCGCATACTTCACAGAGACTTGAGGTGGGATGGTGGCCTTGTACATCCATAAGATCCCAGGACAAATGCAGCTTCTATTTCCAACCTAAGAGCTTGGCTGGAGGGAGTGCTGCTGTTTGAGTGACAGAGTCCTCCTCTCACTGCCACAACATTCCAAACCTGTGTCTGCAGGGCAGATGCAACTGATGATGTGATCGGGGTTTGTAGCACAAAGCACCAGGATTTGATCGCTAGATTGCCGCAGCTGGTTTAATTGAATGGAAACAGCAACTAACCCTTTAGACGAGGGTATTAATGATGGGGCAGTGCCAGGGGCTGGTGCTGTGATGGAGTGCAGATTGGATGCTGTTTTAGTTAAGATGAGTTCAGTGAGTCTGGTCCCTTCCTTAGCCGCCCATTTAAAGTAACCTGGCATTTAGTTTGACACTGATGGCTTCCACAAAACACAGACCAGATCTGGTATAGCAGCAGGTCCTGTCATCCAAGGGTTGAGGTGCATTGGCAGATCTGTGGCTGGTGGCGGGAGGCTGAGAACCTGGCAAGGGTGGTGATTGGATCCTTGATCATGGTATTGTTGGCCTCTCTCTTTGCAG